GAGGAGTTTTCCCTCTGAGCTAGTTTAGGATCAACACTGGGAAGTGCAATGATGTCAGAATTGTCTAGATTAAATCTAGAAAATGATTTGACCTTGTACTTCAGAAAAATTGCAGACTGCAGTCTTTTTTTATGGTGTGTTTTTTTTTTTTGTGGGGATGTTTTGGGTTTTTTTAAGCTCAAGTACTGAGGCAGCTTTGCATTTCTCTTATCTTTAGCTGAAATTTTCATAGTTTCTACAGAATATGCTGTACTGGTAATTTATGTAAAACTGGGGGGGTGCATGTCTGTGTTGTGTGGCAGCTATCACTGGCTGACACAATAGTTTGATGACATTAGCATTGTTAGTTATGTGAAATTTAGTATTCCTTGAATGTATTGGATAAGAGTCCAGCAAGTGGGAAGCATTTCTATTTGCTTTGGCTAATTTGCTCTTCCTCAGGGTCGGATCATGGATCTGGAAGGCAAAGTCCGCAGGGCAGCAGCGGAGAGGGGTGCCGTGGAGCTCAAAAAGAATGAATTCCAAGGGGAGCTAGAGAAGCAGCGACAGCAGATTGACAAAATCCAGTCCTTGCACAACTTTCAGATGGAAAATGCCAACAGAGTACATCAGGAAGAGAAGGTAGGGCCTTTTCTAGCCACAGTTTTCTGTGAGACTCTGGTTTACCAAGACACCCTCTGCAGCAACGTAAGGTTGCTCATATGTTCCGGCTGATGGGCATACAGTCAGTGTTGGTGTGGCAAACATTTAATTTATGTATCATTGTATAATATTTAGAAAATGGACATTGAATGGACATTATAGCATTCATTGTATAATATGTGAAATATTAGAAGCTGCAAGTAACAGCACTTCTGAATAAAACCTCTACCCGCTCTATAAATCATTGTTACCAACCTTGGGTTGGCCTCTGGCTTTCTTTCTTGTATGCTAATGTTTTAAAACTTAAGGAAAAGAAGCAGCTGCACCAACAATATTTGTATTCCCAAATATATTTGTATACATTTACATGCCTTTTTCTTACCTTCTGGGTTTTCTTAACTCATGCATGTGCTTTCACTCCTTACAGGACAGAATTGGAATGCAAAAAGATGCCAAAACAGAATGATGGGTTTCACCAAAATGTAAAGTGGGGTATCTTTCCAGAGGATGGTAAATTTAAACAATTCCCACAGCACTCAATAGCAACGCCCACTATCAGGAGGCAGAAGTGACAAGAAGACTGATTACTCATTTGTATACATTTGTATACATTTTGTAACCATTTATGGTTGACATTTATTTCTAAATGCATTACAAATTTTGTGGCACCTTGGCCTTCTGCCTCCAAAACTCAATAGCACTGGGAGACTTCAGAAGGTTAGACTAGCCTTTCGTGACAGTGCTCCTGACAGTGCAGCATTGCCAGAGGGGTGGAAGTCCTTTGTGAAGAATGTGAACGCACCTACTTAAATAGCAGTGTGTACAGTTACTGCTGTGTAGTATCTTGCGAGCTGTTTTGTTGTGTATTTTCGACATGTTGCTGATACCACCTTGGGTGTGCTGATGCCACCTCGGATGTGATTAATATCACTTTTCTCACTGTTGCCAGAAGTATTTAGCTGAAAGTATTCATTCTGGGTTTATTGCTTCTCCTGTAGAGTCTCTTGACTGAAGTTTATAGATCAGCTTTCCAGGACTATTATTTTCAGCAGACTGAACAGACACGGGTGATGGTAATAGGTACTTTTCAACCCTAGGTAAAGGGTTCACCATTAGGTGACAGTTCGCTGTTCAAAACTTGTGGTGCATGAAGAAAGTATCACCAGAATAATCTTTGAAGGACTTAGAGGAAGAAAAATTGAGTAAAAATGGAAGGTGGAATTGTTTCATTAATATGCATATCAGTGGCATATATTTTTAATTTATTTTGAAATCATTTTTATCCAAGGGTCTTCAGAGAAATAATAAACCAGTTCTTTTTACCTCTTTTGAGACAAACATGTTTCTTTGATAATTTCTCTCTTCTCTTTGGGTTCAGTCTTTGCGTATGCTTTAAAAAAGTTGAGGTATAGGTTGTCTTTTTTTTTTTTTTAATATATGTATTTATTAAAAAGATACTCCAGGATAGTCAGACAGCATTTGAGTGAGTAATCAGTCTCGTTGTCACTTCTGTCTCCTGATAGTGGGCGTTGCTATTGAGTGCTGTGGGAATTGTTTAAATTTACCATCCTCTGGAAAGATACCCCACTTTACATTTTGGTGAAACCCATCATTCTGTTTTGGCATCTTTTTGCATTCCAATTCTGTCCTGTAAGGAGTGAAAGCACATGCATGAGTTAAGAAAACCCAGAAGGTAAGAAAAGGGCAAACAGAGCCGAGTTATTTGCTTAATTTACTCTACGGCCTTTTACAAGGGAAATACGTTTTATGCTTCCTTTTCATAAGTAGATTTTCCTGTAGCCAGAATTATTAAAAGTCACTGGAACTGGAAGTGCTGGCCGCAGAGTTTACAGCGCAGGCTGGCCACATGGGTGGATGTTGAGAGCTGGTGACAAGAAGCTCGGTGGATGACATGTTGCTTCTGCCAAGCATGGTGTGCAACCTTTCTGCTTCCAATTACTGTGGTACCAGACAAATGTAGCTGGCACCACACAATCCACCTTTCTTGTTGCAGTGGTGTTTTTGATTATAGAGGACATGTAGGAGCTGTTGTCCATTAAATCTGCCATCTGTGCCAGGAAAAGTGGTGGGAAGTATTTTACAAAACCAGAACTGCTGTTGGACGTGGGGGTGAATTTGGTAGTCTGGGGAAGAGTCAAAGTGGCTGCTGGAAAAGGAAATCTTGCTTCTGAAGTCCTTGGAGTTTCCTTCTGAAAGAGTCAGTGACAAGGATGAGGGAGACTAATGAATGCATTCACACCTGGAATTACAAAAGGCTACACATGCATGACTTGTAGAGAAATCATGCAGCCACGTGGTAAGACAGTGTTATCATGGGGGTGAATGATAAGGCAAAAATTACAAAGCAGCTTAGAAATAAACTGGATTGGTTGTTGTACTGGGGGGAGGTCACCGGTGGAGTTTTGAAGTGCTGGGAAAGGCACACAGAGAAGAACAAGGAGGATAACCAAAGCTGTGCAGTAGTTTCTCTGTAGGAATCCACAGTGTAGGTTACAGGCTGGACAACAGCCAGCTGAGGAGAGCCATCGTGACGTTCTCTGGGATCCTGAATGGTGCAGAAAATGCTTGTGGCTGGGAGAGACAAGGCCTGGTTGTTCTCCATCCACTGATAGGCGTCAAATGCAGTCAGCAAGTTGTAGTTCAGACTAGGCAGAAGTGCTCTTCATGCAATAGATGGTGAAGCTGCAAGTGTGTGACATCCATAATGCCTAGTTGCAGTGGGTCTGTGTGGGTTAAAAAGCCACTGGATAACCTTGGACAAACACCTGCCCCACCACCCAATACAAAGGTGTTTGTTCTGGTTCCAAGCGTTCCTCAGCCAGAAGTAGCTCCTGCTTAGAAAATACTGTGCTTTATGGCTGCCTTGGTGTTCGTTTGGCATCCAGTGTTAGAGACAGGATGCTGGGCAAGGTGGGTTTTTCGGGCCGATCTAGTATAGCTGTTCCTTCCTCTGGAGTGCTTTTCCCTCCATCATCCTAAAATGCAGTTCAGTAATGGAATAATCTATGAAGGTTGCTGTTGAAACCCCAGGAGCTGATGCTGTAGGAAGCATTAGATAAAAGTGGTGCAATGGACTCATTTCCTGTCTTCTGCTTTTTGTGACTGGAGAAGAGCGCATCTCTGGAGCCTGAAACGGTAGGATGAGCGTGTATGTGCCTGTGCACCACTTCGTGGCAAATTCAAAATTTGTTCATGTTGTGACATGAGCAAATATCCTGCACAGATATTGTTTGTTTCCCAACTCTGTGATTTAAGAGTAGGGAGAGTTGTTTTACTGGAAACCTGTGTATTTGTCAAAAAGATGCCGTCAGCCAAGCTGGCATGGATTCATCCACTCTAATTTAGGAATGCCCTTGATATGGTGGCAGGGAAGAGAGAGAAAGCTTGGTTCTCTTCACTAAGGACCTTGATCTGAAGAAGCTGTCCAGAATCAGAGGTTATTTAACAATGGGATATGGAATATAAGAGAAGACAGTTTCTGAGTGCTTTGTTTTGTGCGTATATGTATATCCATGTATAAGTGTGTGTTATATATTCACATGTGCATACATACATATTTGTATACACACACAGCAAAACACGTATCCTTGTTTTTCAGCTTCATGGATTCCAGTGGAATCCGGGATTCCTGGGAGGCAAGTAATGAATTCACCCTTTCTGGTTGTAGGAAACTTGGTCCTTGAACTGAACTTTATTTAACCCAGGGGGATTAGCAGCAAGTATTTAACTAGTCCAGGAAGGATGAACGCAAATCCAAACCCCGAGTCTCTCAACTCGCTTTACAAGTAATACAAGCTGTCTAACTAACTAGACAGATCTTGGAGTGATAAATGGGATTTTGTTTAGTTCTTTTTGTTGATCTTAAAAATGAAAATGCTTTCAGCTGATATGTAGGAGTGAACGGTCTGTCTCAAAACCCCTTCTTTTCAGGGAGAAATTATGGTTCTTCTCATTGTAGAAGAAATCTGTATGGGAACAAACTTTTACAGTCTGTACTCCTTACCAAAAGCAACTCTCAAGTAATATTCAAGATCCATCTTAATTGCAGTTCATCTCTGGTCACTGTGTCTTATTACTCTGATGATAGAATACAGAATAATTATGCCACTGATGTGCAGTTTCATACCAAACTTAACACACAACTAAGATATTTGCCACGTTAAAGTCATTGTCGGTCGCAGTGTGGTAACCACTTTGAGTTAAATCTGCCTTCTTTTCTAGAACTGTCTCTGTGCTACTTAAAGGACGAGGGCATAGAAGGTAGGAGGTAGTCAGACCCTGAAATACCCAGTGGGCTCACCATTCACTGAGGCAATGTAATACTGGGAAATTGCTGTCATCATTATTCTCTTAGGTCTGAGTATGTATAAAACACTTCTATCAACAGTCTGCTTTTAAAAAATCTGGTTGAATTTTTAAGGATTAATGTGGATTTAGCAAGTGGCTTCTGGAAATGCACAGAAATAGACTGAAGAGATCAAGAGAGCTTACACGAACTCTTAGTAACAACAGATAAGGAATCAGGAGTGCAAAAGGGCTGTTTCTAATCCGTCAGCAATTTTCTAAAGAACAATATTCTGTATGGTTGTTATTCAGGACTCATAGCTGATGGGATGTACACAGCCACAATAGCCTTTTTGAAGGGGGTAACAGGAGAACAATACATGTAATCTCTCTTATTTTTAACTGCTAGAACATGCTTTTGCAGTTTGTCATTTTCTTTGGATTTGTGTAATTCTTCCTCAGCCCACATCTTGTTTTACTGAGGAGAGGGGCCAAGCTTTGTACATTATATGTGAAGCACGTCACTGTGGTGTTGCTCAGTGTCTTTTAACACTGGCCACAGCTGCTCTCGGTTCCCCTCCCTCTGGGAAAATTTCAATTTCCAGCACAGCCTTCTGAGACAAAATACCTATTGGTATGCAGAGAGTCGGCTCTGCTCAAAAGGAATGACAGTGGGCGGGGGGCAGAGAGAAGAAAGCCTGCTGTGAAAAGGAAAAGGTGCCTATGTGTGTTTTGTTTTTGTTTTTTAAACCAAACAATGTTGCATCTTCTAGTTTTGAAAAGGCTTTAAGGGAAAGCAAGCACTGCCTCACGCCCCGCTCTACTTGCCATAGTATGGTGTTACTAAATTAGCAGGAGAAATCAGTCTGCTTACTCATAACTGGTACAGCAGTGGTCTAGAAGAGTACCTCTGTTTAAAATATATTTTTACATGGTGGAGGAAAAAAAATGGATGGTCTGGGACTAGCTAAACTGTCGGCTCCCAAAGAGTGGAAATTTAGAGTATGTGTAGCTTAAGAGTTAACTATTTCTACCTCTTCATAGCAAAATGAATGGACAAAAAGGAAAGCAGAAAGTACGTTATATATACCTATACAGGTTTTATATTAAGATTCTCACATCATAGGATTCTGTTTTGTCTACACTGCCTACTATTTAGGTTTTAATTAAATATAACAATGTTGTGAAAGTCCTGTAACTGTGCAGGGCTTATTTTCTCCAATCCACTTGCTGTTGCCCTGCAGCTATAAAAGTGATTTCTTATTCATATGTGTCAACTTCCTCTCTCTTCCACTGAGAGTGTAAGAAATTGTTAACTTTACAATTTTTGTGGTTTCTGCAGTTTGAGGGCTGAACTCCACCATGTCATGGTGCACGTGTCCTTCATCACAAAAAAAGAGTCTGGATTGCTTTTAGCAGAGGATGCGAAACAAGATTGAATCCCTGATCTTTACCAGCATCACTCTTTGGGAATAGACTTGTTTTTTTGTTTTTGTTTTGGGTTTTTTTGTTTGGTTGGTTGGGGTTTTTTTTCCCTTTATTGAGAATGAGGAAAAGTCTGTGATTTCTGAATGGAATTCAGTTCAGTGAGAAATAAGTTTAAATCAACAATGTCTCCTCCAATTTGGGTTTGAAATTTGTTTTTGGCTTGCTTCGATTGGTGCTCCTCCACTGAAGTATACGTAAGCGTGCAGCACGCAGACCAACCTAAAAGAGAAATATTTTCTTAGGGATCTTATTTATTAGCTTTTACCCCACTTACTAGTTTGTAGTTAGCCATTAATCTCACGTCCTAGAATGAAAAGCCTTTCTGTGGCTAGTATAAATGGTTTCTTTACTCATGAAGATTATTTCAAAGTGGTGAAGAAGAAGAGTACAAAGAGGGAAAAGAATTGATGGTGCATGTTTACTAGGAAAGTGTGTGACTGGGGAGGCGTGTTTGCAAAAATAGAGAAGGGGGGTGGGAATTTCCAGATACAATTAAGAAATGAACAACAGATAATCACAATGTGGCTTGTGCTGCCATGCCACCATGATGGTGGGGAGCACTAGGAGTGTGCAAGGCAGAACTGCTCCTTTTCTTTGAGGTAAGGACTTAGATCAGTTTGAGTTAATCATGAGGTGCCCATCTTTTCCCTGATTAATTATAAATGCTTGTTTCTGCTGGTTACTGCAAGTATAAATCTTACCCTACCAGCTTGCTTTGTTCCCACTTGGTTTTGTTCTTGGCAGCTGATTTACTGATGCTGTGGCTCATCTTTTTCTCCTTGCGAGAGCTATATTTGTGAATGCAAATCCTCTTTTTTCTTAGGTTTTAGTTCTGCAACCAGTGTTTACTCTCATCAAGTTCTTTGCCATTTTATTCCTTTTTCCTGTTGCAATATCTCATTATGCTTTTATACACACCGTGTACAGTCAGTGTTAGAAAGCACATACATCAATTCAGCGTGCTTGGGTTAGCTTGATTTATGACAGTGACAAATGCTGAAGGAGTTATTGTAGTAATGCCTGGAAGGAATATGTTTATGGACACTACTGTGTAAGGCATTAATTGGATCAAATGCACGTGCATAGTTCATAGTATGTGCTCAAAACATATGCTTTGAAATAATTTATCTCAAAGCTTCCTCGCAGGTATTTCTGCATTGTTTTGGATTTTTTTAAACAATAACTTTTAACTTCTGTGTTTCTTAAGTGGAGTATGACTTATGTAGATATGTTCTGTGATGAATAAAAAAAATAAATATATCTCTGGCAGTTGTTGTTAAAAAAACTTGCTGTCCAGCTGGAGCAAGATTTTTCCATCGCTGCTGGTGGCAGTGTGGCTTTTGATTTTTGGTTTCTGAAGACCTGCTCTCCACAGCATTGACTCCAATCAGGAGACTGACTTTTCCTCTGTGGTAGTCACAAGGACTTCTGTGCAAGACACGTTTGCAAATATAACAAGCTGGTTCTATGTTACAGGGTTACTCTGTCACAGAAGATCAGATTTTGATATGGTGATATAGTGAGTTTCCAAAAGCTAGATTCTGGCTCCTAGGGATCATAGGTATTGTTTTGTGGGCTGAATGAGATTTAAAATGTGAGTTTCTTCCTGGAACTGAGTTTTGGCATGTGTTTCCTGAGTGCTTCCCAGCGTTTGCTTTCTTGACCTGCATAAACCCCCCCGTCCAAAAAATAACGTCTGCCTAATTCACAGCCATTGGATGACAGAGGAATGGAAAGCCTGACGTTATTGATAGAGTTGGATTGGAAGTTGGGAGTTGGAGCACTGCCCTGTAAATTATTAAACAGTATTTCCTGCTCAAGTTAAACAGCTAACTAGATTTTCGTGTTTTTTTCCTGGACTCTCACCCACAAATTCAGGGAGGTAGGTGTGGCATTGCTGAAAGGAGTTTTATATGCAATCCAGAAAGACCAGAGCACGCTCCCTCCCCCCCACCTTGTTGTGATTTAAGGAGCCTTTTTCACAGGCAAATCATTTTACTCACTTCAGCTAATCACAGTTATTATTCTAATGTACAAAACATTGAACGCTTGTCTGTTTTACTGGCAAATAAGTGGTCTTGGTATTTGGAAGTTTAAGAAAAAAAAAAAAAACAACACCACAACAAACTGTGGGAACATAAAATTGCCATGTCACACTGATTTTTCTAGTCCGTTGACAGCTTCTGGTAGTGGCCAATGCTGGAAACCCTGAAGGTGATAATCATGGAACAACCTGATTATGTTGCTTACGCATTAGCAAAACTTGGCATTTCCATCAAAACATTAACTTCCTTTCCGCTATAAACCAGTGAAAACAAATCCGGAGCCTTTTTTTCACCTGTCCTGTGAGAAAGGAGAGGGAGAGGTATTAAACAATCTTAAATATGTGTTGTTATTGATGTTGTTATAATTATTTTTTCCTTTGTAACAAAGGAGCAAGGCCCTTGCTCTTGACGTTTCACAGCAGTGTTCACGAACCGGCTGTATGTATAGAATGGCGTAGGAATATTTCTCTTATTGAGCTGAAAACGGCAGCCTCTTCATCAACACGTGAGTGACTGCCTCTTTGAACTGGGACTCTTTAAAGGGTGAACAAAAGACAAATCTACCCCTCTGCTACGTGCTATCCCACTCAGATTGATCGAATGTTTTGCTTTTCCTCATCAACGGGCACTTATTACTGTAGTCTTTGTGAAAAAAGGCAGTGAAAGTGTTGTCAGTGTTTCAGGGTGACTTGGGCAGACAGAATGGATGCAGGTATTTCTTTGCATTAAAGTGGTGTTAACATACATACACATCAGTACTTGAGCAGAAACTTTGGGAAACTGTGGACTTGATGTATCCTGTTCTGCAGGAGTCCTGGGGTTTCCTGGGAAAAGGATAATGAAGAAATTGGCAGTGAAGTGTAAGAAGCATGCTCCTAAGACAGGACTGGGTCATTTCTGAAGGGTCAGTGGATCTCATCTTTTGTAATCTTAAGAAGACTCTTCTGCACCAGACTTTCTAAATACGAATCTGAGTTATCCTGACATCTGGCTCACAGGAATTAATTTCATTTAGGCTTGCCTTAGTTCTGTCAACATTCAGGTATTTTGGGGCATGTGTATATGTGAGTTGGTAGAGGGGGATTGATGAAAGAAAGGACAAAACGTGTTCCGGTGTTGACTGCCTCTTCAGAATGAGAGAGAGCAAAGTGAGGGAATGGAAGGAGGTCCCTCTAGCACTTTCTTATCAAAGTGAGGGAGAGGATAGTTAAAAAAGTGATACAATGCGAGGGCTTTACGTTGCTTTTGTATAGTTCCTTGCTGCTCTATGACTAATGCTTTCGTAGCGCATCCTTGCATGCCTGAATGCAGGTGGTATTGATTCCCTGTGAGAGGGTAATTTGATAGCGAGCTGTACTATGCTGTGTTCTTCCTTCAGGGGATGAATACAGTAAATCTGACTGTGACTGCAATCGTGAGATTAAACCAGAATAAAGCAGCAAGCAATTTTAGTAGTGGACTCTTTAAATTCCTCCTCTTTTTATTTAAGTGCAGGGATATCTCTCCCCTCCTCCCCCCCCCTTCCCCCTGCCGTTTGCTCGGAAATCTGGCTTAAAACGAGTGTTTGTTGTTTGTAATAGTAAATCTCTATTTAGCAGCTAAAAGTTTTTGTGTTTGGCTGTAACCCAGCACTTTGCAAAGAAAAGATCTTGTACAAGTTCTTTGGTTGGTGTTGTTTATAATATTAATGGTAACAGAGGTCCTTTGCAGTTAAAACATAGTTTTCTGTTTTGCTCCTTCCAGGCAGTGCTGATCAGTAACATCACAGGAAATGAACGATTGATCCAGAGTCTACGAGGTATGTTGTAATGCCCCTCTACATGTCTCTCATATTGGTTTTTAAGCCCCCTGTTTTTAAGACTTGCATTTTTCTGGTGTGTTCTGAGAATGCTGCCTTTCTTCAAGTCATGGGGACGATGCAGGAGCTGTGGTGATCCTACATCTGCATAGTTGCAGTTCAGTGAAGTGTCAGACTAATCTGCCTCAACGGTAGAAGGATTTGTCCATGTAGTGCTTAATGTAGGACTCCTGACCCTTTGATACAAAATAATATAGAATAAAACTAGCTTCTGTGTGTATTGTTGCTATATTTATTCTTCATTCTACCTTTTGCAGTGTATTCTTGCATTCCTCCCTAAGGTGTTGAGTCATGCATTTTAGCACTAGGGGAATTCACAAACTTCTATATTAAATAAGAAAACTTGGTATAATTTGTTTCTATTCCTGTTGGTTCTTCAAAATTGTTGTTAGCAATTTATTCCTCAGGAAGTCTGGGGAACGGATCCTAAGTTCTCTAAACAGGTAAGTATGTTGTGGTGCCTTCTGCTGGTGCCCTCACACAAAGCTTTCTGTCAGGAAGAAAATTCTAAATCGTAGATGCCTCTGTTCTTGAGGAACGTAATTGTAGATTGTGTATTATTCAGGGAGGCGTTGTAAGCTTGTCTTTAGATGGCTAATAAACATGAATGCCATTTCATACTATCTTCTGATTAGTATTTCATAGACCTAAAGATTTCCTGGGCTGAAACCTTGAAAACCCTGAGTAAGGGTTTGCAAACAAGTTGAAGGTATTCCTTAAGGAGGTCGAAAAAATCTATGTTACACTGGTTTTGTTAATATGTTAGGCTGAAAGGCTATTCTTACCCAATCCTGTGCATCTTTGATGAATAAATTCAACAATTATCTATGCATTTGTATACAAAATGTAGTGAGCATGACAGATGAATGGAGTTAGCATGCTTACTATCGATCTGTTGTTTGATACTTCTATGGTAATATATGGAGGTATACATATGTGTGTATTTTAATATATATTTTAATCCTGTTTTTGTCAGAACACTTGAAAGAGTTACAAACAGAATATGGAAAGCTACACCTGGATGTTCACTGGTTTCAGAAGAACCAGACTAACCTTCAGAGGAAGTTCTCATATGACCTGTAAGTATATTTTTTCTGAAAGATGGCTTCTGGAGCTGTAGGTGACTTGGTTATAACCCAGAGTATTCTTGTGATAGCTATAACACTGTTAGTAAAGGTACAGTTTTAAGGAGAAAGTAACATCTGACACATCTTCGAAAATTGCTCACAGTTGATCTTGGAGAAGTGCATAGACCTTGCAACACTCAGCATCTCAGTATGCACAGACTTCTCCCGCGCTTCTTGATGTTCCTTCCATTGCAGGAGGAGAAAAGTAGCAATATTCTCCTTTAAGAATTGGGGGGCAAAATTGAAACACAGAGGCTAAACTCTGAAGAAGTTTAAGAACTAAGATATGGGAATACCTGGTGAGAAGCTGTACCTTATTGAGCTGCCAGAGGTCTCAGAAAATTTCTGGTACAGTTATGGTCAGACCCATGTGTTCTGCATTACTGTTCATATCTAGTCATGATTTTTGTTGAGATTTCCCACTGAATTATAAGGCATGGATAACTGAACAGAACTACTTATCAGTATCCTTACACTAAATAAACATTTCTGATATTTCTAGGAATTTCTCCTGGATTCTTTCTGTTCAATAATGTTCCCTCTACCTGTCTTCACATCCTATTGTATCTTCCCTCTGGTGTGTAGATGAAGAGAACCAACAGAATCTGCTGTTTGCATGTTCTCATGATGATTTTCCATCAAGAATATAATTGCTGTAGTGATATGTATTTTTCCAGCAGCCACTGTTCAGCCAGACTTTGTAGGAATTATGACTAAAAGCTCAGTCAACGAACTTGAATTCTGCAGGCCAAACTTGAAATACCTTTTTTTCCTTTTTATTCCCCTGCTTAAGAATTGAGGATTAGTATTAGTGCTTTTGGGATACTTACTGATGACCAGTTGGTTGTGTGCTCTTTTTTTTAGGGCATTATTACTCATTTAATAATGATGACCCAGATGGATTGTATTAGTGCAGTTCTAGTAATTTAGGACTTCTAACAGAAAAGTAGAAGGAAGTTGGAGACTTAAGTTTGTACCAACCTTTTATTAAGCCACATTGCACTTATCTGTCTGTTAAGGTACTTTTTCCCTCCAAGTTTGTTGTGTACCGCAGTTGTTAAGCACCATCTCTTTGCTGTTTAGTTAAATGACAGAGCTGGGACTCCTGGACCTCTGTTGATAGTTCTTTGCTAGTTAGAGTATCTGTTTGCCAGCATCTTGTAAGGCTGAGATCAGCAAGAATAAATCGATCTGTAGGCGTATGTATGTGCTGTACAGTCATGCTGTACATGAGAGGTACATCCTTGAAGCACTGGGTTGATATACATGTAGAGGGAAGTGATACAAGGCAATGTAGTGAGTCTGGTTTCTGAAAACTCGGGTTTATTGTCCATGCCTGGTGAAATGTTTTCAAGTACAGGTCTGTTGAGGAAATCACCGACAGAGCATCCCTGCTCATCAGAGTGTATTGTAAAGAATCCCTCTTTGTTTAACAGAAGAAGATTGGATCTGGAGGGTACAGCTCCAGAGTCAAGGCTGGCTCAAGGTGAAGAGCTAAACAAGTTACAGTGGTGAAGATGGGTTTGCTTGTGTCAGGGTAGATGTAGAGACAGGCATGATAATTCAGCCATGTGCTAGCTGAATAGAGACTCAGCGAGCTGGTCTGCTTCCAGTTGGTCCTGAGGCAGGTGCACTGTTTCCTGCAGTCTCTCCACTGGAGTCCATAAAAGCAGTTATCTCGGTCAAGGAGCTACGCTTTCTTCACTAGCTTTGCTGACTAACATTTAGGTGTTCATTTTCTATTTCTGGATTTTTTTGTAGCTATGCAAGTGAGAAAAACAAACTTTGCACTCAAATTTTCATGGAATGCTTTATACCCTGTAGCATTCACACAATTCTAGCATGGACATATATAAACGTATTTTTTAAATGTTGCTTGTTGTGTACCTTTAGGGGGGGATGTTGGAACATTAATATTTTACTGTTGTAATAAGTTACATTACTAACTTTGTGTTCTGGTAGTTGGTAGTTCTGGTCGTTCTGGTAGAAACATACATCTGACTGTACTTGGTTACATACAGTCCTCTTTGCTGTTACTAAATGCTTACTTAATACTGTCATTTTAAATGCTTACAAACAACCTTTTTCCAACGTGATTATGGGCCTAGAAAAACAAGTATTAGAAAGACTCAAAATGTTACTTTTAATCTGTTGTTCTTCCTCCCCTCAATGTTAGGAGTAAACCAACATGTTGCCTCTCTGTTCATCTTTAGTAGGCCTTGGCAGGTGGAGGCATTAGACCTGCTTTTGTGCTATGCCAGTGTTTCTTCCTTTGACTTGGAGTTGTGTGGATGAAGGTTTCGCACCTTATGTATCAAGTACACTTTGCCCAGTGGAAAAATGAAGAGAGAATATTATTGTATAATTGAAAATGTTATAAAAAGCTGATGGAAGTCAAATGCCTTTTTTTAACTGCACACGTTGTAAAACGCTCTTTAAGCAATTGGATATTGCGCTGTAGAAGACAGTGATAAAATCGGTTGTGCGTGTGGAATGCATAAGAACAAAATTTATTAACTTAGAAGGCACAAAAATCATAGTTTTTTCTCAAGCCCAAGTCCTGAAGTTTCATTTTAGCTTTTTTTTTTGTTTTTTTTGAGCAAGCTTAGCTTTTTTCATACAGAAGTCAGCAGGAGTTATGTGAGCTTACTGGTATTGTGTGCAGAAAGAGTGCAAGTTCCTCACCAGTCGACTTACCGAGATACCCTTGGTGCACGCTGCGCCCAGTGCTATCTGCTTGCGTTAGAGCTTGTTCAGCAAAGGCTGGCTGGCAGCACTGACCCTTCTCCCCTGCAGCAGCCAGAGAGAAACGGAAGCCTCTGGACTGATCCTTTGAAGATATTTCAATATTCAGATGCATTTTGATTCTTAGGAGCTTTGTTTGTTACGTAGCCACTTTTTTGGAAATTCTGCTACTTGTAAAAAGTCTGGTAATTAGTTTGGTATTTGCAGCCCTGACAAGTGTAAGGGTGTGAGTGCACGAGTAATCTTTTTCGGCAGGGATGAAAGGAGCTGATGACATATGCTCCTGGAGGACAAAGGTGCTCTGTTTTTCACGGTGGGGGTGGGGGCAGCAAATCCAGCAGCCCGGGAGGGGAGAGGCTGCATATGCATTCCTGTGCACGCAGAGCACGCCGGTACATTTAGCCTGGAGAAGAGGAGGCTGAGAGGAGACCTCACCGTGCTCTACAGCTACCTGAAAGGAGATTGTAGCGAGGTGGGGGTTGGTCTCTTCTCCCAAGTAACAAGCGATAGGACGAGAGGAAATGGCCTCAAGTTGCGCCAAGGGAGGTTTAGATTGGACATTAGGAAAAATTTCTTTACTGAAAGAGTGGTCAGGCCTTGGAACAGGCTGCCCAGGGAAGTGGTGGAGTCACCATCCCTGGAAGTATTTAAAAGAAGTGTAGATGAGGCGCTTAGGGACATGGTTTAGTGGGCATGGTAGTGTTGGGTTGATGGTTGGTCTCGATGATTTTAGAGGTCTTTTCCAACCGTAATGATTCTATGATTCTGTGATTCTGCGTGGCCAGGTATGCAGGCCAGGTTAATATGGACACATGAAGCACTCACATGAGCACGAACAACACCAGTAGCCTCATCCCGCTCCCCTGAGGGTGGAGGTCTCTAGTGCAAAACGTGCTCATGTACGTAAGTACTGGCTCGCACCAGTCCCTGCACCACCCACATGCAGCCTTCCCACCCTGGCCTGACTCCAGCTGCTGCACTCACACGCCTGTACACACACATACACACACTTGAATAGAGAGTCCCTTACCCATGAAAGAGTTAAAAAGGCATTTAATAAGAAATGGGACAGACTGCTGATCAAGTGCAGGGCAAGGCCAGACAAGCGCACCGACCAGCAATGTGTTTACATGCGACAGATTTTGTTTATCCCCTTATCTCTCTCTTTTCTCACGCTTGTTCCTACCAGAGATCCATCGCTTTCCCTGCTTTTGGTCCCATAATAAGGCTTGTGCAGTCCTGACATGTTCTACACCCACATCCCATAATGTGTCCCCCACCCTGGGCCGGAAATGCCTTGGTCCTGTTGACTCATCTTGATGGGTTTCACTCCTGGACACGAGGGCTGAGGCTGACCTGAAACAGTCCTGGGGCTGTGGGGTTGTCTGGACAAGGTGTCCCTTCTTCCGAGTCTGTAATTTAGGCTCCCCGTTGCGCTTGTTCCTCTCTGCTCCTTTGGACTCATGGAGGTGGGCCTTGGATGGGCTGATGGCTCCTGTGATGGGCCTGGGAGCAGCTGGGGAGGGTATTAGTTGGGCTTATTTGTGTGTGTGCAGGTGAGCTCTTTGTCACAGAAACTAACTCTAATCTTGTGAGAGAGAAAACATGCTACAGAAACTGAATTTAAGAGCACAGGTTTTGCACATTTGAAGTATGTCATGTCGATGGGATGAGGTGGAGAAACTAGTGTGTTCTTGTGCTTCAGAAGTTGTTGTATGCATAAGTAGAGTATTCAAATCTCCAGAAATCCCTTTTCCAAGAAGTGATTCCTTCACAGATAATAAATTAAAATGATAAGGATTTGTCACAGATGTTAAGTGAACTTTATTTTCATGTGCAGTGTGGGATGAAAGAGCATTTACAAAAGGTTTCTGTATCTCCAACTTCAGGTTGTCTGTATACTGCATCTTTCTCAAGCTTGTAAACTGAGGTGCAGGTTGCAATTCTGATGTCCGTTTATTTCCTAGAAATAACTGAATGTGTGCATAACTCAAGCCTACGTTGTTTTATTGTCTCTGATGTTCACTGACTTACGAAGCACTGCTTATTTTGATGACTTTTCCATGTATTAGCATTAGCAAAATCAGACTTTAGAATAATGCCTAGTCAAGAAGAAATGTTAATAAAGATAATTAATTTGTCAGCTCATAAGGTAGTTAATTTGCCAGATCATAGCATACCTGTCTATCACTCCTCTTCCTTTCTGGGTATGAACTACAGAACAGATTTTTTGTTTTTGAAGGGGGGGGGTGTGGAGAAGGGTGAAAGTGCAATATAAATGAGTGATTTGCTGTCATAGAGGGCACGTGCCCTGAGAATTCCTCTGGATTAGGTAGTAGCTTATTTGCAGCTTGAGAAACTGGAACATGCCCATCTGAACCAGCTGCTGTTACACCAGGGGTATTAACACTCTGCCAGAGCCAGGCTCGGAAATTCATCTCCCTTCTGTCTTAGTGAAGGGGAGGTAAAATTTGCAATATGTTGTCCGTGTTGTTGCCCACAGGATGCTGAGAGAGTTTTTGCATGCAGAAAGATGTGTTTGTAGGATCTGTAGCTGATGGTATACATTGAACTCAAAGTTACCTTAGAGTGGAAGAAAACAAAGGCGAGAGAGAGAATGGAAAAAAGATTTTAAAAAACCCAACAAACTCAGTTGCCGCTGGGGCCAGCAGGGAAGAGAAGCCATGTAGTCCCCAGCCAAGCCTCTTCCTTGGGCACGCTCTCCAGTGCAGTGGGTGCTGACGACGATGACGGTTTTTCACTGCATTTTCCTCTAACATGGTGCGCTTCTCATCAGGATCCACTCAAACCCACTATTGCTTGTTCCTGTTCACGATGGGATCAAAGCACACTTGGGGTTATATTGTGACTGGTTTCTAAACCTTCTGCACGTGTGTTACGGGGTAATGCTTATCTGCCTTGTTATTCACTAGGTCTTGTTCTTCCTCTAATATAAACCAAAAGTTACGAAACAGGTTATGAAGAGAGTGGGGGAGAAAGGGTGATCTTGCCCTGATGGCAGTCACTTCCCGTGAGAAACCCAGCTTGACAAGACTCCTGGGGTTTGCATAGGATCTTCAACACAGCCACAAAAGGGGAAAACGCTGCTGCAACAGCCTAGGGCTTACCTAGAGGTTACGGAGCTGTGAGGGGAAAAGCAGGCTACCCCTGGTGTCATGAAGGTTAAGGCACTAATGACACTGTGTAGCTATTAAAAGTATATAAAAGATATACAACACTTGCATCTTTAGGAAATATTCCTTTTGGAACTTATAATAGCTACTGATTAACTCCATTTCTGTAACATATGTTTTGTTATGTCTTGCAGCACTGCACTTTGGTGAAATACTGAGAAAAGGTATTCAGTTTGCTAGCAGTAGCTTACACCTGTTCTTTATTTCAACTAGTACCTTGCTGTTGCCTTTTGCTAGCTAAAATCCAAATATGCATTTCTGCTATTGTACTAGAAATGCTTCAGGGAACAAAACTGATTTTGACTTAACTGAAATTGAGTGGTTAGCGAAAGACAAGAAAACTCATGTAGCTTGTTGAGCTGGTCTAACAAAAGCAGTTTAAATTAATTTCTTCCAGTAGAACTTGGACTGCCTGCACCATGACTTTGTCCTTAGGACTTAAGTTAACACCCCATTTTTTCCTACTGACTTCTCAAATGTAAGCAGAGATAATAGAACTAAGAAAATAATAAAATGGGAAAAAAAAAGCAATAAATCATTTTACAAAAGAACATTTTAAAAGAGTGTGGGTGAAAGTTAACAATTGCTTGCTTGTTCATGTTTTCTCCAGGTCACAGTGCATCAACCAGATGAAAGAATTAAAAGAACAGTGTGAAGAAAGGATAGATGAGCTTACAAAAAAGGGAAGTGATGTACTACAAATCAAAGAAAACAAAGACTTCTCAGAAGATTCAAAAAAAAATAGCCAGGTATGGCTTGGGTAATTTCTTAAAAATCTTTTTCTGTGTAATTCTTAAGGGGTTTTCCACCTTTCTGCTATCTTCCACTAACATTAGCCCATCTCGTTAAGTTTTGCACTGCTTTCCTTCACATTTGTTGAATGTTTCTGGTCTATGGGAAATGGAGTGATTCCAAGGATAAAACAAGGCAGAAGTCCTGCAGGAGACTCCAAATCATTGTGTTTCTGAGATGGGCAGAATTTGAGAGGTGATGCTGGAAGTGGTGTAGAGCCCATTAAAGAATATTTAGACTGCTAGTTTTGGTTCACACCTCCTTTTGACTTTGTTAAAGGACTTAGTTGCTTTGTGTGTTGATGATGCGTGTTGAGGATAAATTGTGAATCACTTCAGAGTAGCAGCAAGCCCAGAATTAGGATATTGTAGACCAAGGGTCTTTGAGGTCCATCAGATATGAATTTTCACAGAAATCCTAATTTCAGCCTTTTACAGTGGGAATGAGCGGAAGATCAAGTCAAAGAACCACGAAAGGCGTTGCTGTATGTGACACGAGAAGGCTCACTAGGATAGGGCAAGCTTGCTGCATAGGGTGGCTGTGTGCCAGCTGACTCTTTCTTCCTGGGGTACAGAGGGCAGGAGGAAATCCTGAGAAAAAGAAATTTCAGATCATCCTGTTGTCCTGGCCTGTGAATTATTGATGCTTCTTCGGTGAAGCAGGATTTGGTCAGGGATAGGACTTCGTCGTGGTTTAACCCCAGCTGGCAACTAAGCACCACACAGCTGCTCGCTCTCTCCCCTCACAGTGGGATGGTGGGGAGAATCAGAGGTGTAAAAGTGAGAAAACTCGTGGGCCGAGATAAAGACAGTTTAATAGGCAAAGCAAAAGCCGCGCACACAAGGAGAGCAAAACAAGAAATTCATTCACTACTTCCCATCGGCAGGCAGGTGTTCAGCCATCTCCAGGAAAGCAGGGCTCCATCACGCCTAACGGTTACTTGGGAACACAAACGCCATCACTCCGAATGTCCCCCCCTTCCTTCTTCTTCCCCCAGCTTTATATGCTGAGCATGACGTCATATGGTATGGAATACCCCTTTGGTCAGTTGGGGTCAGCTGTCCCAGCTGTGTCCCCTCCCAACTCCTTGTGCACCCCAGCCTGCTCGCTGGTGGGGTGGTGTGAGAAGCAGAAAAGGCCTTGACGCTGTGTAAGCACTGCTCAGCAGTAACGAAAACATCCCTGTGTTATCAACACTGTTTTCAGCACAAATCCAAAACGTAGCCCTATACGGGCTACTGTGAAGAAAATTAACTGTATCCCAGCCAAAACCAGCACAGACTCGATTAGTTAAGCTTGATACAGGTGGCCCTGGAAACATGCAATGAAGCTCCTAGGCGAGAAGGGAACTAATTGCATTTCCATGTACCGAAGTAGCCCTTTCTTCAGGCCTATGAGCATCAGTTACAGAAGTTACATTTTTTACACGTCGTTGCGACGGGGCCTTTCCCCCATACCTGGGTGGCCAACTCTCATTGCAAAGGCAGTGGGGGTTTGGTGGTATATGCCCTTTTCTCTTTGGCTAGGAAAAGGCTACTAGCAGAAACAATTTGGTGACTTCAGCAGTGGAAAGGGTAAAGAACGAGGGTTGAAGCTGGGTTTTGCAAATAGCTGGAAATGGATGGGAGAAAATGTCTGAAACATCTGCCCAGAGACCCCTAGGTGTTCGGGTAATGGTTCCAGTCTGTGCCCAGTCCTTTATGTAAAATGGTGGGAGAGAGAACTGACGAAGTTTGTGACCTTTTATGCTGGGAACCTGCGTTGTATGAGAGCTGCAAGATGAATGGAGCATTAGAGACAGGAAATGCTAGCCAGCTATCCCTTTAAAAAAAAAAAGTGAAAGCTTTTGTTGTCAATAATTTTTATCAACAGTGTCAAATAAGTAAATAAAAAGTAGTAATAGTAATAGTAAATACATAGTAATAAGTAAATCAAAAGCCCATCATTTGGAGATGATACATTTGTTTGTCAAACAAATGTATCTTGTTTAATGTCAAGATGTAAGATTCTAACTATTTGGAAAGTTGACATGGGGAAGACCTTTCTAGAGAGGTGGTCAATTTAATTTCTAGTGTTGCTTTGCAGCAGATTTTCAATTACATTACTTGTACCAGGTGCTTGCTTTTTTTTGTTTGTTTTGGAGTTTGGTGGTTTTTTTACCATTTCCAGTATGAAGGAGAAACCATCCCAGAAGGAACCTGAGGAGTTTGGCTGAAGCCCCTCTGCAGGACAGTTTCAGACTCCTGCCACAAACTTCATAGCTGGAGGCAATCTTTACTCAAAGCAGACGCAAATATAATCTCAAAGCAGGCAGCAGGTTAGGCAGGGCAGGTTATCTGTTCTCCTTTTTATCTATAGATGGAATGGTCCCAGATGAAATAACCACTAATACAGCTACAGCCTGAATAAATTTTGTCTGCTTGTGTTCTCTAGTATCTGTGACAGTGTTTCTTACGTCCAGCTGTAACCTTCTCAGCTGTTTGCTCAAGGATTACAACTCTTTGCTTGTACAAAAGCTGAGTTATTTATCATTAGTGCAAGGTGACCCTGAGGAAATTTATGTATGTTTTTAGCCAGTGTTTTTAGCTGGAATAATTCCTGTTTGTAAGATGTACATGCTTATGTAATGGAAAGGCCAGAGTTAAAATAAAACAGAGAAAGAAAATGGAGCGTTTGTTGGTTAATAAATATAAAGCTTTTCTTACAGCTCTTTGTTTTAAGGAATGATGTATACTTCTTGGTTGAGGAATATACAACATGTTCCAATTATTATCTTTTTATCCAACCACTTCAACTTAAAAAATCTTTTCAGCATACACGCTTTTAATTTATTTGACACCGTCAGTAAAAATTACTGAGCTAGAAATTTAAGATAATATAAGTTAAGGGCTTTTGCATGTTTAATTAAGAGGTAATTTCTTGCTATCAAGTGCAGGCTCAGTATTTTTACAGAAGAATTCATGCCCAGCATAAAGTGAAAAATGATCTTATGTTCAGTTTCCGATGATTTCTACTGTAGAGCGTGACCTCAAGAGGCTGAATTATTTATAAAACAGGAGCATTTTTAAATACAGCATTTTTGTTTTAACGACTGAAGGAAGATGGAGGAGTTCTGGCAATAACCAAATATTCTGTGGTAATACTTGCTTCTCAAGCTTTCGTAAGAGTGAGTAAGCTCCATCATGTTAAACAGATACTGTTGTCTAGTTGGTTGATTTATGTTTTTCTTCTTTTAATCCTGCATTAAACATAGTTTTAGACCAGTTCTGTACAGGCTTGCTTAATTGAAGTCTTATTATGCCCAAACTCAGTTTACCTGTCCCTGTAGATTACTAACAGTAGTTAATGCCATCTGTTTTTTTTTGCTCTGCTGACTCTGACACGGTAGCAGGGCAACAGTGGAGAAATGTGTGGTGTTACAGTTCTGTGACCCTCAGAGAATAAGGTAGTGCTTCCTGTGCAACACTAACCAAGAACAGTAACCTCACGGTTCGCTGCAGTTAGATTAAAGAAGGTGTGTTAAATTCTCCCCATGTGTTGCAGTTACGTAGAAACATCACTGCATATTCAAGATTGTATGGTACTTCCATTGCCAATAAAAATTTCAGTCCAAATATTTCCAAGTGTGTTAGGACTTTTTTTCCCCTACTGAATTCTTATTGAACTTCCGCTTCCCTTTCCAAATCCAGGAGTAGTTATATAGATCAATGCTTATCTGTGTAATATAACTTTATAGGTTAATATTCAACTGCCAGCTGTGAAGCAAACCGAGTTCAAGCAGGCTGACTTGGAAGAGCAGAAACACAATGAAGATGTACCTAAAGCAGTACCTACAGTAAAAAAGATAGACCCGTTGCAGGCTAAAGGTGAGCTGGAAATCTGTCTTACTAGCAACTCATTAAGAACGTTTGTAATTTAATTGAACATTTAAAAACATTTTTGTACACAAGATTAAGATGGAGAAAGTAACACCAGTAGATGAACTATAATCAATTTTCCAGCTGTGGAGAGGTATAATGTCTATTCAAGCATTTTTATTACTAGCATTTCTACTGGTTCGGTTTTATTGTAATTGACATGTTGCATGTAAAGGAAAATACAAATATTTACAATTCTGGAGTCCTATTCCTCATTTAATATGGAGAAGAATATCCTGGTTTTGGAAGCAATGATTTTCAAGCACGTTTAAAATTTGCTTTTTAAGTAAGTTTGACACATCTAGCCTGCTAGATTCCCCACCCTACGGAATAGCTGAAAGTTAGGCTTTAAACAAACACACATCCATGTTGTCACTGAGCAAAATGCATGTAAGGGAAATGATACGCAGGGGATCAGGTTAGTGTTGCTTTTGGCACTAAACTCTCAGAAACTATTAATGTGAATGGATGTATCCTAGTGCGTCAGTCTCGCATAGTACTGTGTGTGATAGAAATTCAATTTCCTATTTAATTATTCTTACATGCCATCTTAAATTACAAACTGAGGAGTATGCAACTCTCATTTTAGAAAGCTATCAATTGAAGACAACACCTATATATAGTTTATTCGTGATTTTTTTAGTTAAAAATACAGATACACAGGAAAAAAGATACGGTAATGTCTGCTAAAAGTAATAGCCCTCCTGCACTTCCTCTTCATATTTAAAAATAAAAATAGCCTTGATTTACTTGCAAATCTGCCCACATGACTGCTTTGTCCTGAGCTACTTTTGAACACCAGATCAGTTTTATTTTATTTTATTTTATTTATTATTTTATTTTATTTTATTTTATT